CTAATAGTAACAGTTACAAAGGTTGTCATATGGGTAGTCTTCAGTGACTAAATATTTGATTTGGAGGTAATTTGCACAAACAAGTAAAAATGATAAACCCCTAAATTGGCTACACAAGTGAACACACTAGCATAAGCATTCCGTTACAAATCTGCCACAAAGACAGCAGACGGAATAGACTTATACCATAACACACGTAATATCACCACCACACCACATAAGTAAGACAACACCAAATTATCGCTAACAAGCGAGGCCACATTAAAACCACCGCACACACGCGTGGCCATATCATTGGCTAGGCGAGACATTACCCACTGGATGCGGTGTAAACAAACCTATATTGACCTACACTAATCCGAGAAATGAAATCCTCCAGCTGGCTCGTCTCCAACGATTAGCACTTCTCAACCCGCAACTTTACCGCTTCTAGTGAGATCTGCCACAACCGTGAGCAAAGCAAAGCAAGACAGCCACAGATCTGGTCAGGGAAGCCGGTGCCGCCACGTATCAGTCAAGGGGAGCCGCAAATCTTGCCTAAATCAAGGGAATAGACCATGTGAGGTAGTAAATCTCGGATTTGGGGGAGGGGGAGGGGGTTTGCATCAAAGCCGTGAAAATTGGCTGCCCACCAAATGGTGGTAGAGAAGAGGTGCTATGCGGCACCAAAATCTAGAGAGAAAGGGGAAAAGAAAGGGAGCGTCGCGGAGGAGTGGTGGGGGAAAAGGAAGGGATGGGAGGCGGGAAGTGGAGAGGCTAGAGAAGCGGAGAGGTTAGGAGGAGAGGGAGGCGCTAAGAGGAGGAAGGATAGGCTATCGCCGGCCCCAAGCCAAAACAAGGGACTGGTGGCTAAGACTTACAGTGCTAGGGTTTTTGTTTGAAAAAAAAAAAAGAGAAAATTTGAAAGATATTCAATTTTATAACCTATCTTTTGATGTATATTTAATTTTTAATGATTTTTAATTTTTGAAATAGGTTCAATTTTTAATTCAATTGGACCTATATAAAAGAATCCAAAAAATAGAAGGCAATCTCATGAGCATACGGTACTCGATCTGAAATAAAGATTTTTCACATTACGTATTTGATGACATTGCACAAAATGATAAACACATGTCATTTTCGTCATCTTACATACTTCCCTTCATTTCAAACTATCAAATTAAATACCTCAAACAGAACCATGTCATTTTCGTCATCTTACATACTTCTCTTCATTTCTAACTAAAAAATTAAATGCTTCAAACAGAACCGACAAACATAATGAATCATGGGTGTGTAGGGATGGGCAATGGTTATGCGGGCGGGTAACCGCGGTTAATTTACCCATAACTGTTTATGCTCATACCCGCATAACCGTTTACCCGTTGGGTAATTGCCTAAACGGTTATATCCATAACCATAACCATTTATAAACGGTTAACCATACCCATAACCGCATACCCATTTAACCGTAACCGTTTAATACCCGTTTACCCATTTACCCTTTTTAACCCATTTATCCTTTTTTTTTTTTACCATAACCCATTTTTCACCCGTCTACATGTTTTTTAACAACTTAAAAATTAAAAAAAAAATTGTCATAATATTAATCCCTCCAAGGATTTTCTAGCTTCTGCTTGTTGTTTGCCTTGTGTTGGCTTTCTGTTTGGTTGGCTTCTTAGCCCAGGTTCTGTTGTTCCAGTTTTCAAAAAAAAAAAAAAAAAAAAAAAAAAAAAAAAAAAAAAAGATGCAGTATTCAAATTGAAGAGAGATGATTGTTGGGTTAATAACCCAACTTTCCATCCCCTGTCAAATAGCCCCGTATGTGTTTGTGTGTGTATATATATATATATAGGAATTGCTTAAGGGGAGGGATCCCCATTTTTTCAAAAAAATGGGGACACGCTCTCCACCGTTGGATTTGAATTAAATGAAATCTTGTGGTTGAGATTCTATGGCCTGTGTTTTAATCTCAACTACACAATTTCATTAAAGTCAATCTAACGGTGGGGAGCGTGTCTCCATTTTTTTTGAAAAAATGGGGATCCCTCCCCTTAAGCTCCCTGATATATATATTCTCATCCCTTGTCAAACAGCCCCGTATGTGTGTGTCTATATATATATATATATATATTTATTTATTTATTTATTTATTTTAAATATTCAACATTACATATATAAAATAAATGGGTAAATGGTTACCCGTTTATAACAACGGTTAATACCCATAACCATCTATTTAAATTTCATGGGTAAACGGTTATACCCATAACCGTTTAATTATCTAAACGGTTACCCATAACCGTAACCGTGAAATTTAAATGGGTGGGTAACCACGGTTATCCATAACCGCGGGTATTTTGCCCATCCCTATGGGTGTGTAAGGGAGAAAAAAAAATGTGATTATTGTTTCCTTATTTAAAATATTTAAAATCTGAGACTGTCACTTAATACTACGGTCTAGTGATATTCCTCTTTACTTGTAATAAGCGAGATGTTTTAGGTTCAATTCCCTCCAAAGGTGAATTTGAATCACATTATTTCTAGTCCATTGTAAGGCTAAGTTTATCCTATTCTTTTTAGTATACATAATATCATTTTTTTTTTTAAATATGAGGCTGGACCTAATTTATTTCGAACTAGAAAGGCTTTCATATGTACACTTCAAAGATTGTGACTTGTGAGCAATATATAACTCCCAATACATGATATGTAGTTATCTACAGCACTACCAAGACAAGGATGAATCGGTTTAATGACACATCAATTGAAACTTTTAAAGTGCTGGAAAATACATACAACTCCCATTCTCCCATCTACCATAATTTTAATGTTTAGGCATTGTTAAGGATAATACTTTTTTGGCTTATGCGAATAACATATCTTTATCGTACAATTTTACAATTAAAAGTAGAAATGTTCAATTTCTTAAAAATTCATCCGAAAATTATCTCTATATAAAATTATTTGAATCGTTGATCGTTTATTCATCTAAATATAAGAAACAGATCAACGATTTGAGTAAGTAACATGTCACGATGAACCATTGTCCTATCATACATTTATAGGACTGAAACTATCATGCATTTGTGGGATTGATCTTCAAATGAAGATTAAAAAAAATTAAATTTCAGTTGCCACTTAATACTACAGTCTAATGATATTCTTCTTCACTTGTAAGTAGGAGGTCTTAGATTCGATTATCGCTAAAAGCGAATTTGAACAACATTATTGCCAGCCCATTGTGAGCCTAAGCCTACCTCCTTTCCGTACAGATAATATCATTTGTTCAAAAAAAAAAATCAGTTACAAAATTCATACGGGCCAGAAAGTCTCATTTCTACCCCTAAAAATGAATGTTTTAGACAAAAGACTGAGGGACTCAACAGAAATATTGCAAGGGGGGTCCAATTTTGAGGACAACAAAAACTATTTTTAAAACAATACGCCATTATAGTGGTGTCTCGTGTGTTAATAATACAGCATCACACGTAAGTTTCTCTTCACGTGCATCATATTATTTGGCACAAAACGTTAGAATAGTGGTGTACACGTATCATATTGGTTGCTGCTGTTGGCTCCAAAAGGTGGGGTGGGTCAGATCCTTTCAACGAATTTTAACGCTGCGATCAATTTGTTGGTTTCTATCAGAATCAGTGCCCCTATGTCATCAGAAACTTAATGCATGATGGGACTGTTTTTTTCCTTTGATGAAGACAGAGAGAAAATGACAAAAAAAATTAAAAACCAAATATAAAAAAGAATCAAGAGAGTCGAAGGTGATTTTCACACCTGTTTTCTCGTCGTAGAATGCTCTCTTTTGTATTGTCTTGAGATTGAATAAATTTTGGAAAAAGAACCATGGAGGATACTTAATACTAAGAAGAAGCCGTATTTTTCTTTATTTTTAAATGAGATATTTTAAGTCTAGCTTTTGTGGATAACGAGTTTAATATTGTGTTTCTATTGCTAGGTTTATCCCAAATCCTTCAGTGCTTAGTGTAAATATATCCTTGCATTTAAAATTTTTTTAAAAAAATTAGAACATTGGTCCTGAACTTTAGACAAATTGGAGCTTTGATCATTGGTCATGAACTTGTCACAATGTGGATCAATTATTCTGTTTAGTAAATTTGATAGAACTTCCTTCTCTTCCCTTTTAAACCTTATTTTGAATAAAAGTTCTAAAGGACTAACAGTTACAATTAGTGCATGCAAAAGCAAACTAAAATTTACAATGTGGTTTTTTCTTTTCATTTTCCATGTTTAGGAGTCATAATGTTACAAACCTACAAAACACCAAACTAATCTAAAAGTTATAACTTTTTTTAACAAATGATAGTATCTACACTAAAGAGGTGAGGGGAGTGGATTAAGCCTCATACAAGACCAACATAATAATATTGTTCAATTTCGCCTTTGACGAGAATCTAAAAGTTACAATTAGTGCATGCAAAAGAAAAAATGCACAACAAAATCATATTAACTAAATGTCATACTAGATTTAGATCTCAACCAAAAAAAGAGAACTAATCTAATGGTTTAAAACTTACGTCAATGCTTGTGGCAAAATTAGAGTATCACAGATCCCATTTATGTTGAAACTGAATTCAATTCATGGATGGATTGTGCAAGTTTTTCTAGTATACGTACCCAACTTATTCAATGGGGGTAATACAAGGTAGACTAAATTTGTAGACTAAATTTGCAAACTAAATGATGTGTCACCAATAAGAAATAAGCACATTAATCAACACTTAAGTAATAAGAGTAATGCTAGGGAAATTAAATTTGTAGACAAAAATTCGATCATCAACTTTCATGTCATTTTAGTTTACTAAATTTATCTCTTTAGCATTACCCTATTCAACGGTAGTATGCTAGGGGTTCACCATATATAGTAGGACACATGGCCCATTCCTAGAGGACTTCAATTGGGTGAACTCCACCCCATTTACATATATTATACATATGAGTTCACCGTTAGAAAAATGTAACAGTCTAATAAGGCATTGTCATGTGACGAGAAACTTGCACATGACATTGCATTAACAACTCTATAACCGCGATGAACCTGTTCCATGGATGCAGTTCTCTATATATACCAACGGTAGGAAGATGATCTATTAAACACAAAACTAAAACCAACATAGCCAACAAAAACTCCATTCATTTTTGTTTGATCTCTAGCTAAAGAAATGGGGTCAACCAACATCAATTGCCTCAACAATTCCGGCACGAGGCTATCGTCAGTTGTACCTGCTACGGTCACAAGTGATCGAAACAAGGTCCATGAGCTCACCGACATGGACTTGGCCATGAAGCTTCACTACATCAAAGGGGTCTACTTATTTAAGAGCGAGGCAGTTGAGGGACTTACAATATACGACTTGAAGAAACCTATATTCCAACTGCTGCAACTCTACTTCACCGCCTCCGGGAGGATTCGGAGATCTGAAACAGGCAGGCCCTTCATCAGGTGTAACGATAGCGGTGTGAGAATTGTAGAAGCGCATTGTGAGGAAACCGTTGATGAATTGTTGGCCATGGCCATTGAGGACTCTTCTGCTTTTAATGGTCTTGCTTATAATCAAGTCCTTGGTCCTGATCTAGGCTTCTCTCCTTTGGTCTTTGTACAGGTAATACATATGTGTGTGTGTATATATATATATATATATATAAAATACACACACACACACAAAGTCCGATTAAAAAAGTGAAACAAAAACATAATAAACAAATAATGAGACATCTTCCTTTTTTCTCCTTTTGCACACCCTGTTTCCTTACGTCCCTTGATTTTCCTTTCATTTACTCAATCCAAAGTCCGAAAATAAATTGGGGTGTGTAGGACGAGAAATGAGGTTGATGAAAAAGTTATTGAACAAACAATCAGAACTTGGTGAAATTATTTACCTATGGTCTTCTTTCATATGGTTTCAAAGCAGTTCACATGGTTCAAATGTGGAGGGATGTCAGTGGGGCTAAGCTGGGCGCATGTCCTCGGAGATGCATTTTCTGCATCAGACTTCATCAACATGTGGGGGAAGTTCATGGCAGGTCACGCGCCACCAAAATCTCCCCGCCCGCCAGAACCTGGGCGAAGGTCTCAACTCCAGACACTTTCAATTCCGGGGACACCATGTTCTCTCAAAAGGGTTGATTCAGTTGGTGATCACTGGCTGACAACCAACAGCTGCCAGACGAAGACGCATACATTTCATATTTCTGCCAAAAAGCTCGACCATTTGCTCTCGAGCATTTCTTGTCCACCAAGCCAATCAGCCAAGTTCTCAGCTTTTGAAGTCCTTTCTGCTGTAATATGGAAATCCTTGTCCAAAACTAAAAAGGAAAACTCAGAGAAGATACAAATAGTAACAATTTGTGCCAAAAACTCCCGTGAAAGGGAACTTGAACTTCCGAGCAATGACATGGTGTTCAGCACAGTTGAAGCAGATTTCTCCGTCGCGAAAGCTGATGTCTCGAAATTGGCAGAGCTGATTGTGAACAAGAGGGCAGAAGAGAATGGTATAATTAGAGAGGTGGTGCGAAGGGACAACGGGAACTCGGACTTCATAGCATACGGAGCAAAATTAACATTCGTAAATTTGGAAGAGGCGGAGATTTACGGGCTTGAATTGAAGGGACAAAAACCGGTTTACGCAAACTACACCATTGATGGGGTTGGTGATGAAGGAGGTGTTTTGGTGCTTCCTGCAGGGCCAAAATATGGCAAAGACAAAGCTCGTGCTAATGAAGGTCACTTAGTGACCGCCATCCTGCCTGAAAATCAGCTTGCACAGCTCAGAAATGAGCTCGAAACGGAATGGAGTATTGCTTGAAAATGGTGAAGGTATATATCTCCCTGCCATGCGAAAAATAGAACCCAAACAGTCCATGCAATTTGAGGATGTAATTAAGAGAAAATAAAGGGATTAAGCTCCTTATTTGCGCCCCCTCCACCAAAAATCTATTGGGAAATTGGTTGAAATAATTAATCTACTGTTGCTCAATCGCTGAAATAATAAATTTTCGAGATTTTGAGGAGTGTTGTTCATAATTTGATCAAAATATTATTGTTGTTTTTTTTAGTACAGCGATATATTTTACACTTAACGAGATGGAGAGTTCGGCTAAGCAACAATAGGTAACCTAATTTGGTATTAAATTCGTCTTCTACGAGATTCTAACCTAAGACCTCTCACTTACAAGTAAAGAGGAATACCACTAGACCGTAGTCATAAGTAACAAAATATCATCGTCATGTGAATTGAATAATTTCGGGATTTGAATTATTTGTAAAATCTTCGTTTCAGCAAATTTCTCAAAACAACTAAAGAAACACCTAAGTTACAAACCTCAATCATAATACACCATAACGTAAAATGAATTCAAGTAAACAAACTTGTTTTTTTGGTTCAAAAAGGAGTTACACCTATAATGATACTTAAATTTTACTCCACTAGTAAAATGTCCTAAGAGCAGTTCCATTATGGGTTGTTGTCGAATGGATTGGCTCTCAAACAGGGCCAGAGAGCTTGAGTGGGGAGGTCCAACGTGTGCTAGCGAGGGAGCCTGAGCAGGCCCAAGGGAGAGGCTTGGCAGGAGTTGCTAGCCCGAGAGCCCGAAGGCGACTTGACGCAAGCATTAGGTACGTGTGCTTCAAGCGCACGTGGGCGCACGTCTTTCGACACAAAATTAGTTCTGGGGCCCACAGTGCTTTCTCTGTGATGTTACCGTTGGGGAGGCCATGTGGCTTCCCCACGTCCGTTGGATTTCAATGGCTATATTTTATGGACTGTTGGATTTCCAACGGTAAAAAAAATTAAAAACTTTATTTAATTTCAGCCATTGAATTTGAAGTCAACGATCCATATTATTAGGCTTTGTAAATTAAAAAAAAAACAGTTTAAAATTCTGAAATGTTCTGGAGTGTTGGAATTCAATTTTTTTTTTAATCCAACGACAGAGATTAATTAGGTGAATAAAAAAATTTTAAAAATTAAAAAATGTAAAAAATTAATAAAAATCCGAAAAAAATTTGATTTTACTTTTCTATAAATACCTTCTCATTATCTTCTACCTTACACCACAATTTCATATTTTCTCAACTACTTTCAACCACATTCCTATCTTTCTCTCAAAGTTTCAATCCAATTTTTTTCCAACAAAATGACTATTGATGCAGGTACGAATTGGACACTTATTGAAGATGTTGCGTTGTGTACTAGCTGGGTTGAAGTTACTCATGATCCGATTATGGGTAATGAGATGCAGTTGCGAGAAATGTGAAGCCTTATTCATACCAATTTTCTTGAGAAAATTGGTGGGAAAAGAACCAAAGAATCAATGTCCAGTCGTTGGAAATTACTTAGCCAATTGTTTAGTACTTGGGGAGACGCCTTGGCACAAGCTAGTAGTAATCTTCGAAGTGGGGAAAATTTAGCGGATCAAGTAACAAAATATTATTTATTTGTTTGTACTATACCCAAATTTACATTACCTACTTTGATTATAATGATTTCTTCTCCCTCATTATGTAGGTGCTTCAAGCACAAGCTTGGTATAATGCCAAAACCAAAAGCAAAAACAAATCATTCACTCGGTGGGAATGTTGGAATATTGTCAAAGATTGTCCTAAATTCAAAGTTATGCATGTTGGTCCAGAAGTTTTCATGAACATCATCACCCCCTCTACACTCTACGCCCGATCATGCCTCGCATATTCATGAAGATGACAAAGAAGAAGTGCCTGAAAACCCCCCTTGAACAAGCGTCGGGGTCAACCCGTTATCCAATTAGGCCTCAAGGTAAGAAGGCTTCAAAGAGAAAAGGGAGTGCTTCCAAGAATGATTATGCAAAGTACATTGAAGAACTTGCTCGCCAAGATGAATTGACTTTGGCGCGGGAAATGGTTAAATTTGAGGCTGATAAGGCTAGAGAAGAGGGAAAAGTTGTAGCTGTTGAGAGAGATAAGATAGAAAGAGAGCTACTTAGGCAAGAAAGGGAACATGTTAGAGAAGAAAGAATGGCTCAACGAGATCGTGACATTATGAACACACCTTTAGAAGGGAAGTTTCCGAGTTCTAAATATTTTTGGAAGTCGGAGAAAGCAGATGTGGTGTGAAGGAGGCGTGCAAGAGAAGCGAGAGTAAGAGGAGATGGTCCTAGCACGACAAGAGAAGATCATCCTAGCACCACAAATTGGTTAGGTGATGATGAGCCATTCACGAGCCCAAAATTTTCCAATCACTTTGTAATCGGAGCCCATAATTTCCAATCACTTTGGGTTAAAATATATTATTTATTGAATTGAGTATTTTATGTTGTTTCCAATTTATTGAATTTAGTACTTTATTTAAAGTAAGAGTAAATTTATTTAATTTGGTAATTTATTTATTTAATTTGGACATAAACACACCAAATAAAATTACATAAACATACCAAATAATAAAAAACTCATTAAATGAACTAAAAAAAACACACCAAATAAAAACAAACACACTAAATGAAATTAAATGGCTTGTGCTGCACGGGTTCTTCGGTGGCGTCATGAGCACAATAGATTTGTGTTCTGGAATTGTTTATCGTGTCTGACTTATATTCATCAACGGCATCATAATCGTACTCATCTTTCACAATCATGTTGTGAAGAATAATGCACGTCATCATGATGGATCGAAGCGACTTTACATCAAACATTCTGGCAGCACCCCTAACAATCGCCTAGCGAGTTTGGAGGATACCAAAACAATGCTTAACATCCTTCCTGCACCCCTCTTGACAGTTTGCATAGTGTTTTTCCTTGCACTTTGCGGACGTGGCACTGTTTTGACAAACGATGACCATCTTGGGTAAATGTCGTCTGCTAGGTAGTATGGCGCGTCGTACTTATGTTTGTTGACCCAGTACGTGACTTTTGGTGTCTTTTCTTGCAGGCAAGGAACAAAATATTGATATTATCGGCGATATTTCACCGATAATATCGTTTTTTTTAGATGACGATATTTTTATACATATCCCTTTAATTATCGTCATAATATCGTCGATATTATCGATAATATCACGATATTATGCAAATTTGAGTCTGAGCTTCCGAGTCGACCCGCTTGAACCAGGCATGTCACCATACCGAGAGCAGAGAGCATGTCGAGGGTTTCCTTGTCGACGGAGATCTCGTCGATCTTGATGGCGGACTCCTTGGGGACAAAGTCCATGTGACGCTTGCGGTCCTCCTCCTGCAGCTTCAGGGAAATGCCACAAACCGGGCCTTTCTGGATCTGCTTCATGAGGTGGGTGGAGAATCCGGCAATCTTGTTGCAGAGACACTTGGAGGGGATGATGGCGACTTCCTCGATGATCTTCTTGTTGGTGTGGAAGTCTAGGGTCATGCGCGAGTAGTAGCGCTCGATCACCTAGCGGGAAGATTTCTTCATTGTCTTTGTGAGGACGCGACCCATGGTGGTGGTGGAATTGTGCGGCGGAGCTGGGAAGAGACGAACGGCGGGTGAGTGTGTGTGTTCGTGAGATGTGTTGTGCTTGAAAATGGAGAATTACCATGGTGGCTTAGAGGGAGTGATAGAGGAAGATGTGCGGAGTAGACATGGATGGTTAGAATGAGGGATCAGAAGAGAATAAGATAGAGGGTTAAACAGAGAAGTTGAGATGATTGGTAGAAATTAGGCAGCAGGGAAATCGGGAAAGTAGAAAAAAAGGCCTAGTTTTGTGTGAAAGTCTACCACCCACATAATTAAAAAAAACAAAAAATAATTACCGACTATCAAAGTTGGACAAAGAGATGCAGGAACAAGATCTTGTGAATCCTTCTTCCTATTGTTATTGCTTTGGTCCAATAAATATATTATATAAATGATTAAGATAACATTATAGTATTTGTTCTGTTTTAAAACTTTTTTTTTTGGTTTTCTGGTAAATAAATGAAGTAATTATGACTGACATTTCTAGATCTGGCTTGTATCCTCTTCCTATTTGGATTACTCAACTAGATCACGATGTCTTTTCCAGCAAAAGATTAAACTGTCCTTCTATTTTTACCCCTTAAACTATCTATCTTTTAAAACAATACTATATTATATTCTTATAATATAATATTTTCTTTTATTTTTCTTTTTAAGACCAAACAATTCTTTTTCTTTTTAAGGCTATCAATGGTATTGAGCCGTTGGATTAGTGTGGTCAAAAACGCGGGTGCTGACGTTTTGGGAAGGGCTTTCTCATTAATTTCCCGTTGTTTGTGTAACTCATGTATCTTACCATACAATGTATTAAGTGTAAAATATTGTACTAAGTCATTATATATAAATGATTATGGTGTGTTTAAACTTCATTCATTAATTACTACATATTTTCTACACTCACAATGTTTGCTAGCTCGCTATATAATCAATTTAAATCAGTTAAATCCATCATGCAATGCATTTCCTTCCAATTTTTTGTGATAAACTAATAGATAATTGACTAAATAAACATCCTGCAAAGTTTCAATAAAAATTTACAAGTTTTTCTTACAATTTCCGTGGTTTCCATATTATTTTTATCAATATCGATAATATCCCGATATTTCCATCGATATTTCCGTATTTTTGGACTACCGATATTTCCGATATCATCGATATCTTATACCTTGCTTGCAGGACATCGTTAAACACTGGGGATTGGGCAAGGAAATTGAGGTCATTTTGAGCTCCCGGAACCTCGAAAAATGCGTGCCAAATCCATGTATCAAAAGATGTCACCGCCTCTAAAATGATACTTTTTGCTCATTTTCTGTCCCCAAAAGCGCCTTGCCATGCACTTGGACAGTTTTTCCAAGTCCAGTGCATACAGTTGATGCTTCCAATCATCCCAGGAAAACCTCGCATCTTGCCTTTCTTCAGAAGCTTTTGCAAGTCCATGTCAATAGGTATTCGAAGGTACTCTGCAGTGTAGATAGATTCGATTGCCCCGCAAAACCTCATTAGGGACTTAAGAATGGTTGATTTCCCCATCCTCGCTATCTCATCCCCTTGGTCTGCAGATACTCCATATGCAAGCATTCGCAAGGCAACAGTAATTTTTTGCTCAGGAAAGAGACCCATAGCACTAAAAGCATCATTCTTTTGCACAAAGTAAGAATCATGGTTGCAAACAGCAATCATGATTTTTTTTAACAAATGTCATTCCATTCTAAAACGAGCTCTAAAGTACGTATCAGGGAATGCACTGTTACGGACAAAATAATTGTCCAAGAGTTCTGTACCTCGTCGTTGCTTGCTTCTATCAAGGTTTGCGGAACAGGTAGGCCTGCAGATATGAGCCACAGCTTGGATGACTCGACAGAAATGTGAGGCTCTAGTCATTCTTGCTTCGTCATGTCTACTTCTACGCTCCTCATCCTCTTCCATCTCATTTTGGGCCACTTGGATATTAAACATTCCTTCTGATTGGTTAAACAATTCATTCTCTTGCTGATCGATTTCCCACATCATCCTTGAAGAAGAAGACATTGTAAGGAGGAAGTAGAAACTATGAATAATGATACATATTTTGATTTTGGTGAAGAAGGAAGCAGAAACTATAAATAATGATAAAGATCTTGAGAAAATTGGTGTGAGATTTCTGATGATGGATGGTGGATTATATGGAGGATTCATAAAGGATTAGGTTGTAGATAATTCCACGTGGCATGCTGTCATTTATTAAAAATATGATCGAAATCTATCCTCAAATATTGTAAACAGATTGTGACACGTGGCGCAATGTGATTGGTTAAAAATCTTATCGAAAATTTATCCTCAACAATTTTAAAAAGGTAACGACACGTGGCACGACGACATTAGATAAAAATCTTATTGAAATCCATCACCAATAATTGTCTTTTCGAATAACGACAAGTGGCGCAACGAGAACGATTAAAAATCTTATCTGAAATTACAAATAAAATTATTTTGTATTATTTTATAAATAAAAAAAATATTAATATTTTATTACCTATTGCCAGGGCTATTCAGTGTAGCGGTGCAAAAGGCAGTTACTGTTCACTTGATGGATTAAATAGTGAATAGCCTGGAGGGGCCTTAGCAATGGTGGAATTGCTCTAAAGCAAATCTCTATACACCCATATTACTTTTAATTAAACTATCAATATCCCTTTAAACCCAAATTTATTACTTAAATCACCCTCACAAACTAATTTAATATATAAATTTATCTTTACACCCATTTAAAAAATAAAAACTCAAAATTGGTCTCTCTCACATAGTTCTCTCGCACCCAACCCTTTTTATTTATTTAATTTTTTTTACTGATTTTGCTTAATCTCATATATGTTTTCTGGGTGATAACACGGCCAAGAAACAGTGCTCTTCATGGTACCCCAATTTCATCATTTCAATATGCAATTATGATTATTATTATTTATCACAGGAGATGGTCCTTGTGGGCTCACCACTGCTGCTACAACTACAACTGCATGCACATTGTTGGTGGCGCACGGGGGGTTGGTTTTGGGTTGGGGGTGCGGTTGTGTGTTTCGTAGATCATCAGTCAGTTCCTGGCCTTCCACGTCTCTCAGATCAACGATGATCTTAGTCATGCTTGTTGTTCTCCTGATCAGAGGGCGTGGACGCTTCCCTAACAACATTTATTAAATTATGTAATTTCTTCCGAATGTCAGTATGTGTTTAATTGATCCTTTATTTGCTATTTTTTCTTAATCTCATATAGATAATTAAAAAAAAGTGATTTTTTAATCTTATATATGTTTTTACTAATAATAATGCTTTGAAAAGGTGCTGATTTTGTTCCTAAATCCTAAAAAAAATTGAAATCAAATGAAAAAAAAAAAAACTTGAATAAATCGATCATACTTTAGTTGGAGGATCCAAAGATTCAAATCTTTGTAATATTTTGAACCATTCATGAACATCACAACAACAAATATGATTAAAACATTTATAGCTCCCACATAAATAAGGATTTGTGCAGCAACTACAAAATAAGAGTTTAATAGAATATAGAATAAGGATATACAAACAAGAACTCAAAACTTCAAAATCATCATCCATCGGCAAAATAAGCTTGTTTTATCTGTAAAAGCGTTTTAGGGTTTTAGCTATAATAAATGTACAATAAAAATTATGTGATGGTAGGGTTGATGTCATGTTTGAGTTTGATTATTGGTTGTGGGTTTATTAATAATAAATTTTAGTTTTATTATTAATTATATCTTGCACTTGCATAAGATAAAAAAGACAATTCACATTTAAAATTTAAGTTGGGTATAGAGAAAGGTTACATGGGTCCAAATAAAATTTCTCTTTTACACCTCTCAAGTCAAATTCCAAGCTGATCGGTTGTAAGGACATGCAAAATTGCAAAATGTATTCTTTTTCTAAAAGTATTATCTTTCTTTTGTAGGGCAAAAGCTTTAGGTGCTAATTAGTTAGTTATTACGGAGAAAGAGAATTGATATTCATTTTTAATTGTAAGAAAGATTTTATATTCGATTCTCGTCAAAGGTAAATTTGAACCACATTATTATTAGTCCATGTAAGACTTTAGCCCCACCCTCCCATTAGACCATCTTCAACCCTTGGGCTAAAAGCCAAATTTTTTAGCCTAGAAAATTTAACTTTTAGCCCATAAACAGTTTTTCTGCTCCAACCCTTATGGCTTAAAATTTTAGTCCGGGATTATTAAAGAATAAACTTAGGCTAATTTTTTTCTTAAATCATTTTTTAAATAAATATGTAGACTATCGTAAATTAATTTTATGAACATTTTAATATAATTTTTTTAACTCCAATAAATATTGAAAAATCACTAAATTTTTTACAAAGCAAGCCTTTAACTTTCACCAATCTTTCAACACCAAACTTTCAACTTTCACCATCCATTCAACTCTCACCATTCATTCAACTTTCATCAATCATCCTCTATATAAACACATGTCCAATATTAGTTGATCAGACAATCTTTCAACCTTCATTCATCTTCTATATTCACCAATCTTTCAACTTTCAAAGAGTTTTTGTTTCCTAAAAATCCTCAATATCTCATCAATGGGTGATAGAAGAAGGCTTGATAAAGAAGGATGCCATGACCAAATGATGAAATATTATTTCATCGAGCGTCTAAGATTTCCTGCTCATGATTTTCCGAGGCGGTTTCCAATGAGGATAAAGCTTTTTTAAAGCATCTTGAACACAATTGTCAATCATGACCACTACTTTGTAAGGAAGATAGATGTCGTAGGCCGACAAAGTCTATCACCTTATCAGAAGCTCACATCTGCATTTCGGATGCTAGCTAATAGGTGCTCTGTAGACTCAACTAACGAGTATTGCCAACTTACGAAAAGTACTGTTATTGAGAACTTGAAGCGCTTCTG